CAGAATCCCATTTCAAATAGCATGCAGTGTAAAGAAAACAAGTTTAGGAATTGCAAAGCAACTCAGACTTTGAAAAAACAGATGGTGATAAAAAAAAAAAAAAACAACGCAGTTGTCCTAATATTTGGATAATTTAAAAGCCCTCAGCAGCTAGGGAATTAAGAAAAATAGCTCCACGTAGGCTGGATCATTTAGCATCTGGTTTGAAAAGTCACAGGCCGGGAAAGAGGTCCCAGAATGTGATGAAAATATGATAAGAAAGGTTTTCAAAGAAAGAAACATGATCCTAGTGAGTGCCATGTGGAATTGGGGAACAACACACATAGTAGAAACAGGTGTTAGGAGACCTGAATCCAAGACTAAGCTTAGGCACCTATTAGATGTGTGACCTTGCCCAGGCCACCTAACCTCTCTGACCTCATCTCAACAGTGAAGTTAAAATAATAATACTTGCGTATGTACCTCACTGGGCTCTTTAGCAGTCACAAGGGAGGCCAGATAGGACTGCGGTATAAGGCTGCAGGCACATCTCAGCTCCACCACTTAATGGCTGCATGACTTGGGTGAATCTTAGATCCCTCTAAATGTCGATGTCTTCATCTGCAGGGACGCTAACACCTGCCTCGGCTGGTAATTGTGAGGACTTCATGTGGTAGAGTAAATCACAGCATCTTGCCTTTGGCATAGACAGTACTCAGTAATCAGTGATATTTATCATTCACATGATATGTTTGCAAATTGTTCAGTGCATAAAAGTGAAAGATAATTGTGATATTTAGTGTGATGTGACTTAACTGGGTAATAGGATAAATATTACAATAAAAACATAAGCAGGAAAAATAGATTGGATGTGGTATAGCAAACTGTCCATCATTATAATGAAGGAACTTTGTAGATAAGGATGTGTGAGGACTTAAAGTCTCACAAAATTAGCTCATGTTGGCTTAGCTAAGAGATGGTCATATAGATCTTTTTTAAGAATGAAAAGCCCTAGCGATGATCAATGGTCTGTGTCTGATTGGGATAAGGTATCTAGTGAGTGACTGTGAGAATCAGCGATAATTCAGGTCTTATCTAACATCTCCAGAGTCATTGAGAGCAAGAGTAATTGGTACGTTAATGAAATCTGTAAAGACACTCAGCAAACCTCCAAGGGAGCCTCTTTGGAATTGGAGAAAATCAGCCCAGGAATACCGGAAATAATGTGAAAGGGCCTCAAAAGTCCACTTGCTCATTCAGAAAATATTCCACCCCAATTCTATGCCAGAGCCTTGTTAGGCACTGAGTATTCAGTATGAAAAGCACCATTCCTTTCCTCACCAGCTCACAGCCCAGTGAGGGGTACAGGGTAAGTCCTACCATTCAATGAGGTGGTTGAGGGAAGTTTTGGGAACAAGAGAGCCCATAGTTGGGGCTGCTAACCCAAGGCTCAGAGAAGGTTCCCCGGAGGGGACAACAAAAGAGCAGGCTTGGCAGGGACCCAGAACAGTTGACCCACAGAGGAGGAAGACTGACTGTGCTCCAGGTGGAGGGAGCACCACTCACAGTGACCCGGATCACACAGGGGCAAAAGGCACCCTCGAGTTCTGGGAATCCTTTGTGATGTCAACAGATGTCTATGGCCCTCCCACATTATAGTAATTGTCCCTTTAATAATCTCTTGCTTGATAAAAGCACATGATGCCCCCTTCTTCCCAAAATACCTATTAGGAATTTGACAACAGTTTTAAATGAACTCATCTCTTATCCCAACAGTGTCTACAGGCATTTGCATTTGAAAAATATTTACTGTTCTTTTAAATGAACTAGTGTATTTTATTCCCAACAGGATCTACTGACATTTTCATTTGAGAAAGATCTACCTCATTTATGTACAAAGCTTAACTGTTTTTCATCAGGAACAGTCTGTTCATGCATGCACTGATGATGTCCTTACAATAACTGCCAGCTCAGCCCAAACCCCCCGAGGTCTGTGATCTACAGTTAGCCCTGGAGTAAGGGGCAGCGGCAGCATCTGAAACTGGGGAGGTGGCCAGAGCTCGGCTTCATCATCCGGATTAAGGGAAGGGATGGCGTTGTTGGAGAGTTTGAAGCATGGACAGCCGCAGATGGCTTTCTCAGCAATGTGGCCGGCATGGGAGATGAAGGCAAGGCCAGAGGCCAGAGACAGGTCACGGGGGATGTTCTGAACTAAATAATAGCACTAAAGAAAGAGAAAGAAGCAGATTTGAAAAATATTAAAAGGTAGAATTGGTTGGATTTAGCAACTTCCCAGGTGGCTCAATGGTAAAGAATCCTCCTGCAATGCTAGAGACACAGGTGACGCAGGTTTGATCCCTGGGTCAGGAAGATCCCCTGGAGGAGGAAATGGCAACCCACTCCAGTGTTCTTGCCTGGAAAATTCCATGGACAGAGGAACCTGGTGGGTTATAGTTCATAACGTTGCAAAGAGTCTAACACAACTTAGCAACTGAGCATGCATGCAGCAACTCCAGACCTGGGACCTGGAAGAGAAGACCCAGATGACTCTCAGCTTTCTGGCTTAGGTAATCCGATAGATGGTAGGACCAGCCCAGAGATTACAAAGTCAGTAATTTGAGGAGATCTTGATTTTGGACGCAATGACTTTTGAAGTTCCTTTGGGACAGTTAAGCAGAGATATGTAAATCCGAAGAAAGATGCAGCCTTCAGATACAGATTTGGGTAGCATCAGCGTGCAGATAGTAATTCAAGTCCTGTGTGTGGGTAACAGTATCCAGTGAAAATATGTAATATGGAAAGCAGAGAGGGCCAAGGACCAAGCGCCAGGAACCCCAGCATCTGAGAGGCAGGTGTAAGGGAATAGTCCCTCTGAAAAGGAAATGACATGCAAAAATGAAGGAGAAAAACAGGAAGAGGGAGACACACAGACAGACAGGCTGCTACCATGAGAGCCAAGTGAAGAGAGTTTTAGGAGAGGAGCCATGAAACTCGCCGTGTCACAGTACAAGGACCAAAAAGTTCACCTACCCGGCATGACAATGAAAAGAATAACAGCAGAAAACACTGTCTCCCACTTAATGGCTCACTATGCTTTCAAAGCCCTTTGACATTTATATTTCATTTCAATTCGTTCTACAGCCCATACAGCCTGTCTTCTCACAGATGCAAAACCGCAGGAAGTGTGATGAAGAGATTTGCCACCGCCATCTAGGAAGTTAGTGGTCAGCTCCTGGAGTTAGAGATCAGTCCAGAATCTAGGTCATGCTCCCTGGTTCTGCTCACACCTGAGTCAGCTTTTTAACCAACCAATAAACCTGGTGGCTCAGACAGTAAAGAATACGCTGTCTTCACCAGAGAGGGTTATAGAAAGTTCTTGCATTCTAATGAGGTCAACACTGCCCTTTATATCTCGATTCTCACACCTCTGCATCTTACAGATGCAAGCCTGGCTCTCCATGCAGGAGATCCCTGTTTGTTCATTCATTCCTCAGTCATACCAACAAGAGAGGGGGGCTGCCCCTGGCCCATCAGATCTGGACCAGGCACTTATCTCAGGGAGTTCACGGCTCTACTGAGCAGGGGGTCTGATCATGAATCTCTAAACCCATCTGTCGTTCAGAGCACAGAAGGAATGCTAGACCAAGACCTCGTATCAGTTTCTACAGTTTTACTCTCTTCACAGCTCAGATGATACGACTGCAATGTCACCACACTGGAGGCTGGGCAAGGCCCAAAGACAGTCGACACTATCATGTTGATTTTCTAAAAGTCACTTGCAGCCTTTATTTACAGCTAGTGGCCTGGTTCTGGCCTTTTCTACTTACCCAAAGAGCTGAGCTTCAGTCTGGGTGCATGGCTTCCCAAGTCACATCAGAAACAGCTGGGAGCTTGTCTGGATTCTGTACCACAGACCCCAGATGGGTGATGAGCCATCTCCCTTTGCTGTCTAAGTCCTTCTCAGGGCCGAGGATGGCTGACACACAGGAGGGATGAAAGCAAACAGGATAGGTGAACTGGGTGCCTGCTTTATCACTTACTTCATGGTGTCCCTAAAGTGGAAACATCCTTTAAATATTAGACATGGAAACTCATGCTCGGATTAGAGGAAGGTAGGTGGTTACATAGCCACTGTCCTCCTTTAGAACTGCCGGAGACAAGTGGCACAATGTCAGTTCTCTCATCTCTCGAGTAAACTAATGAAGATGCAGTTAAATAGGAACTTCTGAAGCCATCTTCAGCCTGTGTGTTATTTGACACTTCAGGTAGAAGAGTCCAGTTCAGTTCAGTTCAGTTCAGTTCAGTCGCTCAGTCGTGTCTGACTCTTTGCGACCCCATGGACTGCATGCAGCACGCCAGGCTTCCCTGTCCATCACCAACTCCCGGAGTTTACTCAAACTCATGTCCATTGAGTCGGTGATGCCATCCAACCATCTCATACTCTGTCATCCCCTTCTCCTCCCACTTTCAATCTTTCCTAGCATCAGGGTCTTTTCAAATGAGTCAGCTCTTTGCATCAGCTGGCCAAAGTACTGGAGTTTGAGCTTCAGCATCAGTTCTTCCAATGAATATTCAGGACTGATTTCTTTTAGGATAGGTTGGTTAGATCTGCTTGCAGTCCAAGGGACTCTCAAGAGACTTCTTCAACACCACCAACAGGACTGCTATTGTGGTTTTAAAACAATAGGCATCAGACACTTCCTCTTCTGCCTCAGAGACTTTGTATTTGCCTGAATAAATGATGCGTCTCTGGAACTGGACTACCTGTGTTCAAATCCTGGCTCCCAGGACTACAAGCTGTATAGCCTTGGGCAAGTCACTTAACCACACTAGGGGGAATGGGTGTTCGCGTGCATTGTTTGAGTGAAGCACCACCTGAGAGGCTGGGCAGAGCTGGTGTCAGTGAGTGGTCACTAGCCGGGCACGGTCAGCGGACAGGGGCAAGCTGAGGCTGCCAGGCTCTGCTGCCGTGGCTTCCTTTCAAGGCAATAACAAGTCCGTGCTGTCTCTCCTCCCCGTAGGTCAGTGCAGCTGAACGGCCAGCCCCTGGTGATGGTGGACGATGGGACCCTCCCAGAACTGAAGCCCCGCCCGCTGCGGGCCGGCCGGACATTGGTCATCCCTCCAGTCACCATGGGCTTTTATGTGGTCAAGAACGTCAACGCTTTGGCCTGCCGCTACCGATAAATCCCCTTACACTCACAAGTCACCAGCAGGCCTGCCAGACTACTTTCCACTCTTCTGCCCTAATGGTATCAGTATTTTTTCAGGCATCTTCTGAGCAACCAACCAGTCTCTGCCAGCCCATCCTGCTGGAATCAACACTGGCACGCTCTCAAAGAGACAAATACCCTAGCATGAGCTTAACCTAAGTAGGTCACTCCCACCCCAAGGGAAGAGGTGGACATCACCGGTACCTGTGTTAGCACGAAGGCGTGTGTGTAAAGCTGTGTCCAGCCTTGTACATGCACCATGAGAACAAGCTGACGGTACATGCCCAGAACAGAGACAACAGCTCCCCACAATCCTGTTCACATAGCAGTGTAGCTACAGACCTTGGCCTGTGGCTGCTGCCCTCAGCAGATGAGGAAGGAGAAAACCCTGTGGACCTTCGGCAGCCCAGTCCTGCCTAACTCCTTTCCTTTGTCTGTTCCCTGCTGTTGCCTTAGGTTTCATATCACCTCTCCTCCCATAGGGGAGCAGGTGGGTGAGTCAGTGCTGGCCTGCTGGGCGAGCTGTTTATGTAATTTCCTGGCTGATGTATGAGTGTGTGCATCTGGGTTTCTGACAGTGGCATCAATCACTAGCTATTCCTCTGGGAAGCGGGTGCTTCTAAAGTAAAATTGCAATCATACTCCAGATTTTGTAAGAAGGTTCTATTCCTTTGTGAATCCAGATTCCCCCAGGGTTGGGACGGGAGTCAGGTAACAGTATTCATTGAGTGGAGAGCAATGTATTAGGCACCACAGAAAGCAATCATCATCTGTCATGTGGCTGCGAGGGAGAGTTTTAGAAAGAGAGAGCACACCCATCCACCAGACACAGACATAGACACACACACACACACACACACACACACACACACACGCCCCAACTGAACAAAGAAAATAGTTAGACCTATCTCAACTTTGACAGAATATTAAGGGCTTGATAGGGTAAGCCCTTAATGGCTTGGTTGACCAAAATAATCTTTAAAAAAGGTACAAATCAAAGGTCATCAGAGCTGTAAGACACAACTGAATCTAACAACTTTCTACTGCTTCCCAAGTAGCTGAGTGCTCTCAAAGGCTTATATTAAGCAGAAAACTAATGTGCTCATAAAAGATGACCAGGTCCATGCTCTCTAAGACCAGCTTATTTGAGCACTGAAAAACACTTTCAGGTCACCACACTGGGGAAGGGAGATCTGAAGGCTGAGGTCTGGTGGGGAAACTGTGGAGGAACGGGAAATGGAAGACCCTCTGGGTTAGGCAGTGGGGCGTGGAGTGGTTTAAATTTCAAGATGAGGACCTTCTGTATGGTTCAAGAAGTTTGTGTGGGTCTTTGCAAACAAGTTACAACTGAAATGACTTTCTTTTCTGTGGATGTGATTTTCTTTTGCAGGATAAATGACACAAAGGATTTTTTTTTAAGGAGGAGGTATTAGACAATGTTATAGGATTCCAATAGAGAGAGATACAACTTCTGCTGATGTGGAAGGATAGAAATTGAGGAGGGGGCAAGGTGGCTGAGGCCAGAGGCTGCAGAGACTGCCTGAGGAAGAGTTAAGGAGCAGGGCCAAGTCTTCAGAGTGAATGATTAAGGAAGATTAGACAAGAGAGGAGGGAGCAGACTCTCAGCGTGGAGAGCTGAAAATTGGGAGAGGGAGTGGAATCAGTTTCAACACGCTAATTATTAGGTAAGGAGGAATAGCACCAGGAGGTGTGATGTGGGAAAGGGGAGACCGAGGACCAGGCTGGACCCGGTCAGGGCTGGTGGTGGCTGAGTGGTGGCTCAGGGCATCCCACTGATGCTTCAGATGTGGGAGCAGGAGAGAGAGAAGTCCCAACACTGGGGGTAGAAAGGCAGGGAAGAAGCAGCCAAGAAAAGTGAAGAAAAAGGAAAAGAGGAGTAAGAGACAAAGAGGTTGTTTCCCCCAGTTTAAACAACTTGGTGCAAATATCACAGTCTTTTCTTTAATATATACTGGTGCAGGTACAGCTGCAAGCCCTCATAATAACAGGAGTGACCAGAGGTCCCTGTGGGCCAGCCCTGAGCTAGTTTGCTTTACTAACATAGCAGCCCTTCAGGGAGATACTATTCACATCTCCATTTTTCCTGTGAGGCCTGGAGTGGGCCTGTAGCTGCCCAGGGTCACCCAGGGAATGGGTTGCTGAGCTCAGAATAGTCCAGAGCCTGTTCATTTAAGCACCCAGCTCAGTGGCTGCCTGATTCACAGACTTACCTCTTTTCCTTTTCATGGGTTCCACTAAATCAGTACAGCCAGGACCTCTGAAGCTCCACTCAGACACACTTTCTGTAAATAAGTGTTGATTTTTCACTAAGACTCTAACTGTTGCAGGATACAGGCAGTTTCTGCTTATTTTGTCTTTATATATTAAATATTGCTCCTAAATTTTGGTTTGGGTTTTATTCTTCTTTTTTAATTAATAAAAAGGGAGGAGGGAATCAACAGAGTTTATATTTGGAGTCCTGCAATGCTAACTTTGCAACTGCCTCCTGGAAGAAGTATTTGCATAGTTCAAAATATACCAAGAAACTCACTATAACATCACATTCCATAGGGATTTTAGTGCAGGGCATCTGTCCTGGCTTTCTCATTTAGGAGTGAAGGGTAATTACTAAATCACTAGGGATCCTCCTAATAAGGGATTTTCCTACTACACTCACCGCAAAAAACGGATTGTGGCAGAACTCAGCATCATCCTGCACGTTGACAGCTTGCACCCAGCTTGCCAGGCTGGGCCCGAGGACAAAAGAACTCATCTACCAGCTTCCTCCCATCATTTTTCTCCTTCCCAAACAAGACATGGCCAAGACAGTCTTTTAAGACTTAAGAGCCATTTTATTTTAAACCAAAGAATGGGCTTGCACAAATGCTTATTAGAAAGCATAATAATGTCTAATGAGAAGTTTGTGCCTTTTGCTGAGATAATTTTCCGCCCCTGTCTCCTGCCTCTAGGAATGATTTTCTTTCTCCTTTCTTATCACAAAGGCTCAGAACAAATTCTCATTGTTCCTTGAAGAGAAAGTATCAATTCTTCTAGTGCCCTGAAAAAGCTGCAAGTGTGCGATATTAATGTTATTTCCAGCTGGAGACAAGCTGGAGAACACCAGACCTGCGCTCCAGTGAGCCTGTGCCTGGGACCCCCAGAACTGCCATTCCTGAGGCCCACTTGCCCTCTGTAGCCCTAGCCCCCCCACCGCCCCCCCCCCCAGTGAAAGCAGTCCCTGGGCAGATGAGCCCCAGCCCTGCACCCTTCAACATGGCAGAGGGTGTCGGCAGGTTCTGCCTGAGAGGCCTCCCCTGCTACCTGTACCCCAGGCCCCTGTATGTGGGGTGGATGCAGCTGCAGGATTCACTTTGGAGACGCAGTGAGAGCAGCTTCACATCTGAAAACAAAATGGAAAGTGTTTCATTTCCGCAAAAGCCAAGGCGAACCAGGTGGGTCACTCCAACCATAAACACAATGGGACACAGAAAGACTCTAAGCTTTTGAATTATCAACAGAGCAAACAAAAATAATAGAGCTGTGTATTGGAGAAGGCAAGGGAAGAGGGGGCGTAAACACGTCCCTGTCTCCAACCTCAGCACCACTGCCCACTGCTCTTTTTCACTACCTTCTATCCAGTTCCACAGCCTCACCTCTGCCGGCCACTCTATCCCCTATCCAGAGCCCAGGGAAATCCATTGTACTGAAACGGAATTACATTTTGATAGTAGAATAGTCCACACGGTCTTTTCTTAAGAAGTACCAGAATTACAAGTAAGATGGTAAGGAATACTCAAAGCGAGGCAGTTATTATAAAGCCCAAGAGTATTAAAATCACTGCCTCTGAGTCACTAGCAGTCTCTGTAACTGCTATGCCCACTCCTGGTGGTGGTGACTAGTTAGGGTGTTTGGAAGGACCATAGTGGCATAACTAGGACTTGAACCCGGATCGGTCAGAGTCCAAATTCTGCTCTCATTGTACTCTGCTCACTCTTGCTGGACTGGCTGTGGCCAACTTCCTCTCAAAAGGAAGTTAGTTTTTCTCTGCTGCCCACAGCTAGCTCTCTTAAGGTCCTTTGTGTGTCCACCCAGAACACTGGTGGTGCCTTCGCCCAGGAGAGTTGATCTCGGGGCGTGGAGGAACTGACCAGTAGCTCTGCTGAGTGGTGAGTTGAAGTGTGACCAACCTTGGATGTAGAATTTTGAATCCAGGCTCACCTTGGCTCTCCCGATGTGCACCTCTTCTGTCTTTTATGGAGAACCATTTAAAGGGCCACGTCTGCCACTACCACCCACCGCAGGTGATGGCTTGGTATACTGAAGTCGTGGAGGTAAGTGGCAGAGCTAGTCAGCACCTGCACAGGTACTGCCTCTGAGCCCTGCTCCTCCTCCCCCACCACCAGAGCTTTGGAAGTTTCTCTTCGCCTTCCCAGACTAAATAATAAATGCAGTGACTATAGCCCTCGGAGCAGTATTTGCAAATATCACTGTAAAACAAAAAAAGCCAAAATACACTAAACCAGCTGCTTTGGCATCCACTTCCTTCTAAACACCAGAGTAGCCCCAGGAGCCCAGGAAGCATTAGGGAGGAGCTGAGCAAGTTCCACAGGACTGGGTCCAGGGTGCATCCCACTGTCCTGGGCATCCAGCAGAGAAAAGGGCCTTCTGTACAGACCACGTCATGCATGTTATTTTCTAATTACTATTCAAGAAAATATTCTCAGATGCTTTTCTACTTGTAAATGTTATATAGTAAATTATACTTTTGGAAGAAGCAAAGAGAAGTCTTAGTTTTATTCAACTGGAAATAACAAAATAAGTGCAGGAACACCTCCCAGGGAAATGTTCTCTGTCTAGGGGATTTGAACAGGGGTTAATATTTTCTTCCAGGGAACAGATTATATTAAGGTTTGTATGAGCCTAGTAATAGCAGAGAGTTTGATTCCACAAGGTAGTTTATATTTTGAGGTAAAG